ATATAAGTGTTTTGTAGTGTTTTGTCCAGGATTAGAGTGTGGATGAATTAAAAATAAATTCAAACAAGAATGGTATTATGACAACAATGACATCCACTTGAACATTGGGATACTCTCAGCTGATTATCATTTGATAATTTTTCGATCATAAGTGACTGGAATGTAAAATATAAAACATTTGGAATGTAACTTTCAGATAGAAAAAAGTAGTAAAAATATGTATATATTTTAATACTGAGACCATCAGAATATATGTACGAATAAGATCTATATACAGATATATATGAGCTATAATGATCCTTGTTCTTTAAATTATGTCCTAAATTCTGTGCAATTATTATCTTGTATTGTATATCTTAAATAAAAAACATTTGTTCTTGAACTAACTTCATATACCCTCTTAGGGGAAGTGTTATACATAATAGATGCATTATGAAAACAAATGTGCAAATTCAAAATCTTCAAGTTATTTTTAATTTAAAAAAAATGCACAAATAAAGCAGATTTTACTCTATTTTCAATAGGAATAGGCCACAATAGGAGTAAGCCACATATCCCTACATACATACACAGATTCCTTCTAACAATTGTGTTAGCAAATACCTCTGAAACCCAGACACAATATGGACCTGATTATCTCAATCAACACCGTCTCTAACCTAAGTGGTGCAGCATTCTTAAAATGTACTAGGTCAGTGCTATGTGAGTTTTTGCTTTGGCTTTTTGTCTGTAATCTCACCTCTAAAATCCAAGAATTGTAGCACTTGCACAAACAGGTGCTGCTGCTAGCAAACCACTCCACTTGGAAAAGGTCCCACCAGTCAAGAACCTCTCATTCTGCTACATGAGTTTTTCTTACTCCATAAACCTTTGCAATGAAAAGTTTGTGACATATAGTGTATCCCCAGCCGCCTGTCCACTCATGTTAGGAACTGGTCAGTAACTGACTAGCTGTAATACTGTGGCTGCTATCAACCTGTTTACAGTTTTATACTGCATTAGAAATTGAATTATTGCCTTATTTACTTGTTTTATTAAGCCGTGTTCACATAACGTCTGTCACACTGGAACATTTGAATGGCACTTACAAAGTAGAAGATGGTGATGGACACATAAGAGATCCCTACTTGAAAGAAAATGGAGTGATAACCTACTTTGTTATAAACCCAAAGGTCAGTAAATTATTGAAGTTATATTTTATGCATTTAGGCAGAAACTAATTCCTTTTTCTTAGCATTTTCCATTTTGTGGTTGCCTTTTTCTTAGCATTTTCCATTTTGTGGTTGAAATGTGTATAGCTAAATATTTCATTGTAGGCCTTGATTAGAGATGTTTGACGAGGTTGGTATCAACTTTTGCATTCATTTATATCTTGGCAATAAAAG